CAGTTTTGATATTCTGCATTGCTGCTGTGACTGTGCCAAGTCCTTCGATAACTAATACTATGAAACGTGCATATAGTAGTGGGTACATTATTCCCACTCACCATTGCATGCAGTATTTTCAGTCCTGTCTCACACCAACTGCACTTGCCATGTCAGGGTTTGAAGGGAAGTAAAGCCTGAGGAACAATCAAATGCTGCTCAAGAGATTTAAAATGCTAATCCAGGCCAATACTGCCATTGGCTAGAGGCAGGCATAGATCAGGACCTATTTGCCTGGAATGTACCTCCTAGATTAGGGGTGGGCAATAAGCTGGAGGTGGTTTGCCAAGGCTGGTGCTTTATTTACCTGTGCATCAGGAGGTATGGCCGCTTGCAGCTCCCATTAGACTTAGGTCATTGTTCCCAGCCAGTGGGAGCCTCAGGAAGCAGCACAGACTCGGACATGGCTTCTTGCAGCTCCCATTGGCTAGGAATGGCGATCCACAGCCAACGGAAGCTGGAAATAAGCACTGGTGGCCTGCTAGGGGCTAACCCTGGCAAACTGCATCCAGCCTGTGAGCCACTTATTACCTGCCCTGTGCTAGATGCTGCCACCTGTTTCAGCTCCACCCAGGGAGAGTCTTGGAGGATATGGGCTATCTGTAGTATTAAAGGAGGGCAGTAACTAGCAACTGTCCAAGATGTCTCTTCCTGACTGAGGGAAGCTTGCTGACTAGCCAGGTCCAGCTCTAGGAGAAGACTGAGAGGAACAGAACACATTGGTTACATGAATCAAACACCAGGCAAGTACTTCACCTCTGTCAGGGCTGTTAATGAACACAAATTCTCTTTTGGCTCCTCTGCCAGGTCTAACATGAATCCAGGCTTCTTTTCCATTATTTCTCTCTCCTTTTGCTTCCTCTACAGTTTCTCAACTAGTGTAATTAGCTATTCTTTCCCCTTTAAAGAGAGAAGGTGCCATAGCAACAAGGCTCTGTTTAACTCCTTCATGGCTTTGCGAGATGTACAGCAAACAAATGAAATCTGGCTGTTTAGAGGAGCCTATTGGGTGACGTTTAACTGATGACAATAAATGAAGGCTTGAATAATGAGTCCTACCTCATTTCAGCTAGGTCAGAAAAATATACACGTGGTTTATAAATGGCCAGGGAGAACATATGGGGAGATATGGATAAAACCTGCAGTAAAGCTTGATCTGGGAACAGCAAGTAGTCGTCGGAACTTAGCAATATCCCAGAAGGTGCACATCCACTATCTAGCAAAGATATGGAATGGTTCTAAACGGGTGAATATATCAGCATTGCTGAACAGCTGCAGGCTTTGATGAAGACAGTATCATATGTGTTCTGGAGTGAACTAAATCATTCTTGAGCACAAGTTGCTTATGTGCTGCTCAATCCAGTGCTACTATGAGCACTGTTAGAGGAAAAAACTGCCCCTCAGTAAAAAGTTTGGCCAGGTCACTTTTGCTATAGTGGGCTGCAGTACTCCTTGGGAGAAACCAGCTGCACCCTTCCTGCATACCATTGCCTTTAGAAAAAGGGAAGGTGTGAAAAAGGGAGAATAGCCTCAGACTCTCCCACCCGTCACCTTGGCATGAGAACTGCGGGGCTTACCTGGTTGCATGAAACCTGCACAGTTTTGGCCCAACCCCTGGGGGACAGACCCCCCCCACTTGGTGGCCATTGGGCCATATATGGTAATATGCAAGAACGGGACAGCGATGTGCAGATTTGGGGATAAATACCCATCGCACAGTTCGCTTGAGAAGGTCTTTGCAACACACGTACCACCGTGCGTGTGCCTTCCCGTATACTCCAAAGCGCTGCCGGCCTGATCGACTGACCAGCCACCTCCCCCGACTCTCGGGCGTAACCAAGGCCTTTGCAACCGAACCGATATCTTTGAAATGTTCCGTTTGCTGTGTAAGTTGGTATGTATGATTTGATTTTCTTCGCTGTATAAGCTTAGTGTTGTAGTTGTTTTGGGTAGTACATAGTTTGTAGTTATCACTGTTATTTAATTAGTGTAGCTGGATATTTTTAGAATAGAGACTATTCCCCTTGCCATTCCCATCCTTATATCTCTGACACCTTTAACTAGGAATAGTAGAATAAATATAAATACTGTAAATTCATTATTAACACAGTCTATTAAAAATCTTAGAATAAATACTATAAATTCATCACTGTCAAATAAATACCTTTTATTTGCTAAAACTGTCCACCTGGTTCTGTCCTTCCCCCCTTGGGTTTGCATCATTGGACTTGTGATTCTTGCAACAAGCACCACGAAGTGCCTGCAAGTGTAAGTGGTGGAAGGCAGTGTTCCCTCTAATCTCTGAGCTTGTCTGGTTGCTCAGGAGAGATTCAAATGCTGCCCAGCTGATTAGCAGTCGACCTACAGCTAGATTTTGTTTCTACTAGGGGTGCCCATTTGTAGTCTCAGTGCCCACAAAAATCTATTCCACACATGGATGGAAAAGGTTAGAGAGACTACTGGTGGAGGGAGTGAAAAATAGAAAATCATGTAGGGGAAGTTTGTATTAAGTTAGACGCTCATCACACACACCCTCTGTAGGTCTAGGCCAAATCTAGAATAATTCTTTCCCACTTTCTAAGCTATTATGAATCCTGAGACTTAACGCATGAATCTAACAAACATTTTGCACTGTATGTGCAGTAAAGAAGTTTCTCATCTCTGCTGTCCTGTCTTGGCCCCAATGCCTGTCTCTCTTCCTATCCAATATTGATGTTTGCCTTGCTCTCTGTTAGAATCCCTGTGTACCTGGCATTACCTTTCCATCTGTTCATTAGCTGGCCATATAGAACATCTTGACTTGTTTGCTTCTCTTCCAATCCCCCAGCTCAGCATAATCTTCATGGGCTTGCAAACACAATGCATTAGCTACGGAGCTTGTTTGTGAATTCAAATCCACCTGCTTTCTCTTTGACTTCATTGCTGAAAAAAAGATAGGAGGGGCCCCAAAGCACAATCTGAGCCCATGCCAATTGCTCAGAGTGAGTGGAAGAGCCAAGGAGCCCTGACTTTGCTGCAACTTTAACCCTTCTTGTTCTTCTGCAAAGCTTAGATCTACACTACAGCTTTTAGCCTTGGGGGTGAGCATAATTGTATCCAACTTGGACTCTTATTCCCTTTGTATGGGACAGTTACCATTAAACACACTGCTGCTGATCATTTAGTGCAGAGTGCTCATTTGTTTGTTGGACAGGAATGGATCCCAAGAACACTTAATTACAAGATTTCTTTGCCTTTCATTCCAACTGTTAATTAAAATCCAATTGGAGTCAACCATCAGGATTTACAAGTTTTAATTGCTTTCCCTGATGCTTGGTTGGTGTATAGTTTCATGGTGGAACTGACAGACAAGCCAATTCCCTTGTTCTTGTCTCACCTAATGTCTGTCTCCCACTTGGGCTCAGGTGTGAGCTAGGCATGAAGCTGCTTAGAAATGTCAAGTATTAGGCAGCAGTCTGCACATTCACTAGGAGGAAAGCAGGTTGTACTGAGGTGCCCAAGTCTCCCTTGTGCATGTCTGCTTGGTGCTCTGAAGGAAAGCCACAAAACCTCACCCCCTCACAGTGCATCACTATACAAGGACTCCCCACGCCCCCAATCCTAGCCTCTATACCAAGTAGTTTGCACCCAGGAGCTGGAGCAATGATTACTCTTGTTTGCTGAACCAATGATTCACTGTTTCCTTTCTAGTTTAGCTGTAAATGGTTGCTGGCGACAAGTCATCAATCCAATTCCTTTGCATTTTTCAACTGAAATGTTAATCAAATGTCCTTTAATAGCTGGCACCAAGTGCTTGTAAGTGAGGAGAAGAGCACAGAGCCTACCAGGTCAATAAACTGCAGTAGCAGGGATGGTTTACTTCAGCCCACTGTCTGCATCTGTTAGTTAGGGGCATCTTAGTTTTTCCTCACTGCCCCCACTGGGAATACTTGTAACCAGGAATCACTCAGGCACACTCCAGTGGAATTACACTCTACGCTGACAAAATGGGAGTGGGCCAAATTCATGCTCAGCTATAGGGGGTAAATCTAATTAACTTTATTAGACTTCCCCAACTAAGAATCTGTATGAATTCCCCTAAGGGCTGGAGGGTATCAGAGGTTTCAAGTGAGGTCATGATTCTGTCCTTCCTGTGCACTGAGATTGGCATAAATATTCTCCAGTCTGCAAACAAATCATTGATACCAACACAGCTCAAGCCTTTTTATCTTGGCCATCTCTCTTCCTTTCCAAATTATCTCTCCAGGTTCTTAGTGAGCAACCTCTCAGGCCAAATTAGGTCAAGGACCTTCATGTTGTTTTCTTGCTTTCATAATGCTCTCCACTCCCCAAGAAGAGGCCCAGGTATTAATTGGCACTCAACAGCAGTGAATGCTTTGTTTTTCAGCTAGCTAACAGCATCCAAG